TTTTAGATAGAGAAAGGCTAAGGTAGGCAAGGTCAGTTTTTGCGGGAAAGAGAACGCAAGATCCCAAAATAAAAACAATAATAAGAATAATAAATATATTAATATCTCTGTTTTTTTTACTGTTGTCATCAAATATTATCTTTTCGTCATTTTATTATTTTTAAAGTTAATAGTAAAAAAATTTAAATTTAATTTTTTTTCTCTTTAATGTTGTAAAGCTAAATCTCATATGAATAAGAGTTGTAATACATCTTAAACTTATAAATAAAGATCTTTTTTACTTAATAATTCAACTCCTCATTCATTGAAAAATATTATGATTAAGATAAACTTGAATTAAGGTGATTTTTTTTATGAGCAATTATTAGAGTGGGTCTCTTTTTTATAAATAAAAATGTGTAAAATTAATGTAGTTAGAAAATTAGATAATTAAATCAGAAAAAACATGAAAAATTTTGCATTAGTAAAATATGGGATGGTTTGAATTTATAAATATGAATTTTTTTTATTTAATAAGCATTTTTATATGAAAATGTAGGCCCGTAATATTTATGCTTGCCTTGGCATATATTTTTGGAATCAAGCGTTTTGCAATTCTTCATTGGTAATTTGTCTGTGTTTTGAGTTATTTCATTTTTATAGTATCTTTTTCCTATTAATATGGTCAACATTTTATTTAGCTGGATGGTTATAAAGTTGATGAGGCATTGCCTTTGTTGGAGAGCTTTGGAATAAAGTGCAAGCTTATAGAATATTACAGGGAGTAGTTGTGAAAAGTATGGAAGTTGAGTTGGCAATTTCCATTTGTGCGAAAAACTAAAACAAAAAGAGAATATGCTTTCAACTGTGGTGTAGTTGACTGAAGTAAGAATTGTTTTAGGGATTGACCACACTCGTGTAGGATCCGGCTCCTCCCTATTTGCCGCAATAATTATTAATGGCCAGATTAAGAAGCCACCTTACTTAAAGGTTACATCTAAAGCTAATATAATATATTATAAATATATAGATAACTGTTATATTTAAATAAAGTTCACGTCACATGTCTTGTTATAATTTTTTAATTTTTCTATTCTTTGGCCACCGATGCTCATATATTAAAATTAAAATATCTATAACATCAAAGTATCCGATTTCTTTCTTTTCAAAAAAATCGTAGCCACTTCTTTTAAATATAAAAAAAAATTATAACTTTCACAAACTTATAGAGTAAAAGCTTTTAATTTTACGAAGAATATTGCCATTTGTTCATAAAGTAGATAAACTTTGGAAATTTTATAACAGATCAAAATTAATGGAGGGAGTGTTTCACCTTGTCATCCCATCAGAGGTTTTCTCATTATCTCAATTTGCAAGTTGTTTTTTTTTCTTTTCAAATTTTAACTTGTTCAATTATTGTTTCTTAAAACCAAAGGATATTGCTAATGCGTAATGGGTATTTCTTTTTGAGAATGTGTTCATCAATTTTGAAAGGATTTTTTTTTATAAGCAATTTTGAAGGGATTATTTGAATCATATAAAATATTGAAATATGAAAATTAACCTTTCAAGTTTAGTTTTTTATAAAAGATTTTCTTTCAAAAAAAATTGTAAATTCTAAATTAAAAAAAATTCTTATAATATGTAATAAAACCGAATAAAACAACATAATTATTAGATTCCAATTTAAGTAAGCTAAGAAATTAGACTTGTTGATTTTTTTGAAAGAAATGGATCAACCGAGGCGAAAGTTAGAATATAAAGCAAAATAAAGAAAAAGTTTTTTTTATATCAAGAATATTTCAAAAATTTTATTTGAATTTAATTTAATTTTTAAATAACTTTAAAAAAGCACCCTCACATGATGTATTCAAATATTTATTCTGAAAATGCAACTTAAAGTCTATTTGGTAATCAGAAAATGACTTATGTTTTACACGAAAATTTAATGTATGTTATTAAGATAAACTAGAACATTTTGTATTGTTTAGATCATTTTTTGAAAAATATTTGCCATCATAATAGAGTTATTTATGTGTTAAAATAATAAATGGCAGTTGAATATAAAACAATATTGATATTTAATTTTCACTAATTTGATATCAAAATTAAGAATGGAAATGAAAATGGATAAAATCAACAATGTTATTTCTAAAAGCATTTAACTATAAATTTGTAATGAAAATAAACTCCAATTTTTAAAAAAATTTCCTTCTTATCACTTTTTTTATCATAATTATAAAAATATAAATATTCATCAATTGTGTAAGATATCAAAAACTTATACTTATAAATATGCATCTATTAAATAACAATTATTGAAATATTTTTTATTATAATTATTAGTAAGATTTAAATCTATTATAAATACCTATTCATCAAATGATGATCAATAAAATATTTTTTATTATAATTATTAGTAAGATTTATTTTATTTATAAATAAAAAATTTAATTGTATTGAATGGTTTTATTTAAATAATATTTTTTAATTTTAATAGTGTTATATTATTTAAATATTAATAATTTAAATTAATTATTTTAAAATTAAATATTAATATTCAGCAAACTTATACTCGTAAATTTAATATAAAAGTGTTTTTGTTATTCTCTTAAAAATGTCTTACACTTTTTAAAGGCGTAAAATATTTTTTGATGTTAACTTTATTAACATGTAAAATATTTTATATCTAAAATTAATTTTTTATCTATCAAACAAATATAAATCTTAAAAATAATTTTTAAAACATATTTTACTGTAAAATAAATTGACCCTTAATAAAGATCAAAACCGGATTGACAAGAAAGAGACTCCTCTTCTTACCAATTTCACAGTCTGGACTTGCCCTAAAAGGAGAGCTGTTTTGTCATACTAACGGTGTTTAATATCAAATGCAAAACAAAAAAAAAAAAGTGAATGACGATTTTATTTCGCTGAAGCGGCTCTTAATCTAGTCAACAACCAATCTCTCCAATTAATCTAGCAAACGGAGAGGAGGGATCCGTCACTCGGTAATATCTTAGGAAATTTGCTTGGAATAACGTGAAATGAATTTTTTTTAGATTAAAAAATGAATTGAAGCCTACTCTTTAAATAAAAAAATTATGAATCAATTAATAAATTAAATATTTAAATACAATATAAAATAAAATTAATTAACAATTAATTTGGTGAAAAGATGGGGGGAGATGAGATCCTTGAATTTTTAGTGGATGCTTGAAGTTTAAGTTGCGGTCTTTCTCGACAATAAGTTGCTTTCAATGAATTAAGCATGTCCGACAAATAAATATACGATTGTCATGGGAATTTGAAGAAAATTTCTAAGAAAATCATTTTGAAAGATTTGGGCACGTTTTCTATGCTAAGAACGCCAATACGACAATGAGACGTGGAGCAATCAAGACCAAAGCAATGAAAGGAGCATGCCAACTCGCAGTGCGCTTTTCTACATTTCTTCTACTCCTATAGTCCTATATATCTTTTATTATATGTTATTCGGATAATGTTAAAATAAACAGACCATTATTCATTCATAAATAGAGCCAATAGATTAATGGTTAATACTTATATAACAAATACTACAACTACTTAAAAGAGAATTCTTCTTTCTTACCTCTATACTAATTCAGAAACTGTATATGGTTTTCCAAAGGAAAACCATATTATCCGTAAACTTAGATAAGTAAAAGAATCATATATTACCTATAATTTATATATACGGTGTGAGGAGGATTTTAGAAAATTATTATCCAAAACAAAAATTACTAGAGTGAGATTAAAGGCAAACAGAGAAACTACGCAGAATTCTTTAAGGAACCGCTAATTGATTCCAATCTTCTTCATACCTTACCAGCAGTGTGCGTGGGGTTAACATTGCACGAGCACGACACAAAATTAAATAAATTTAATTTTAAATTTATGCATTAAATATGTCAAATGTATTTAATTCATTTTAAATTCATTTATTTTGTTTAGTTAATCATGTTAGCATTTCGATATGTATATCTTGTTTATTTATTTATGATTTGTATAAAAAATTTATATACATTTTTTTGAATTTATTAATATGTTATTTTTATTTTACAAATAGCTTATATAACACAAGACATGATATGTGACAATGTCACGAAAGTCTTTAATCTTGACTTTTGGTGTTTTAATATAATGATGGATTATGGATATTATTTGAACTTTATTGTGATTCTCTTATGTTGATGTTGATGGATTTTTCATATCCTTGATAGGTGTTATTGTTATATTATAATTGTCTTATGATTATTAATTTTAAATTTAAATAATAGAGTTATATTTTATTTGTGTATGTTAAAATTAAATTACTAATAAAAATATTTCAATTTAATCACATTAACCCTTTAAATGAGTTATTATTTGTGTCTTATTGTATAAAATTTAATTTAACTTATTTAATAAACATGTTAACCATATCGTATCATATACATATTTAAAAAATATATTTGTGTACATTTTATGATTATGATATGATTAATTAATTGGGTTGTGTTTGTAGTTATCCATTTAAATATTAATACTTTATATTTAGACAAAATAATTAAGATACTTAGACACAAATTATAAACTGCACCTAACACAAACCTTTGAACTTCTTCTCTCTCTTTTTCTAATCACTATAAAGAACAATGCCAGTTATTTGAATATCTGCATGTTCTCGTTCTTTCTTTGTGCAGATAATAATAACTTTTGAAAGTACAAATTTTATGACAATGTTAATGAGCTCAATTTAATTACTGCATTCAGCATCATTATGTAAATTATACTTATTTATATATATAAATAGATTGAAAATAGAAATATAAAAGCAAAAGGAAAGTAGAAAAGCATATTATTAAGTATTTTATATTTGTCCGTTAATGTCACCGTGTGATTAAAACTTAAAAGAATTTAGGTTTTTTTTTTTAATTTATTATTATTATTATTTGTTTTGAGGGAATAACAAAACCAGAAAAGGGTAGGTACAACGTGCGACAACGGAAAAATGACAATTATGCCCTATGAGTGCATTCTTGTTTTCCGTCAAATTTCCGATCTTCCAGATGCTTCCAGAAGCCAATTCATCTTTCGCAAAAACCCTAATCCTAAAATTCAACCCAAACCCCCCCGATCTGTGACGCTAAATCCCAGAAATCCGATTCCACCCCTTCCAAATTTCAGTTCTAGTGCGACTATCTAACTACTTCATGGGAATAATAAAAAGCAGTTTTTCGTTCATCGCAGGCACGGTTTGCGGAATTTACATTGCCCAGAACTACAACGTTCCTAACATAAAAAAGCTGGCTGACACCGCCTTCTTCATGGCCAAGCATGTCGAAGAAAAATACCGCAAGCCCAAGAACAGGGACGACGATTAGCTGCTATACGAATCCGTTTTTTAGGAACCAATGGAATCAACAGGTTCAATTTTGTTTTCTCTTCATAATTACGGGAAAGAAAAAAGATTATTTTGTTGGATCAAATATGATATTGGGGTTTTGTAAAAGAGAAGCAAAGATAAATTACTGACAAAATTGGGTGCTTTTTCACTCCATTGGAGATATATTGGTTTGAATATTGTTGGTTTTTTTAAAAGTATTATACTTTAATTTTGAAATTGGAATCTTATGTTTTGGGATTTTGGGTTGATTGGTGTTTAGGGAATGAATGCAACAGGTCTTCAAAAGCCTGTAGCCTGTTCTTGCTCACTCGGGCGTTTGTTCTTTTCATAGCTTGAGAAGCTATAATTTACCATTAACTTGGTTTCAAAACAATGTCACGCTTTGCATAATTCAGTATCTGGTTAAATGATGGAGTTATGCTGAGTTTGTATATGGAATTTTTGCAGGTGTTAGTACTATTGAATTAATTATATTTTACATAATAGGCAGTGATGATTCTTTTCATTACGAGCTGGTGGATGAGTTTTCAAATGGTTGTTAATTTTGGAATGCATGATATTTTCAATCAGCTGCAATGCAGCTGCCAGCTGGGTTAACCCTTTTACTTAGCATTAGCACTTTACGTTTCTGAGATGGATTTCCCTTTTAGGCATTGCTTTTATTGAAGGAAGGCCCTTTCCTTGTTAACTTTATATGATGTTAACCTTGTGTCGTGTGTTTCTTACACCTGCAGTTCGGTGGTTAACCCTGTGCCTTGATAGCTTCCAATTTTTGTTTTGGAAATTAGAACTACTCAGTTTTAAGAGTTAAGTGGATTGTCTTTGACATCTGGTTATTAGTGAATTATGGCGTGGGGTTGGTTGTATGTCGTTCCTCGGTTTGGAGTGCTTTGTGAGGCTTTTCTGGTGCCGTTCTCTCTCAAGGCTCTCTTAAGTCTTGAGTTTTCTGGCATAAAGGGTAAGTAGAATGTAGCTTCTAAGTGTTGGTGGTTATAGGTTATCGGGAAAGTGTATATTCGATGCTGGCATTGCCCCAGCTATCCTCATGATAGATAACATAGATAGGTAATAATTCTTCTGTTCTATTTCCGCAGCATATCCATCATGTCATGGCTTTCAAGTTATGTATATCAAGTGTATGTTTTCTTACACGAGGCCTAAACATGGGCGGTTTGGTGGCTACTTGAATCTTTGTTTTGAATCTCAATACTTTGGTCAAGCTGTTGTTAGTGGTTTATCCTTTTCTTTTGAGAATGTTTTAATAGAAACACCAGCAAAGATAATAATAAAAATTGATCCTCGTTCTCCTTCTTGGAAGTAGGTAGCTACACTCAAACTTTTAATGGAAAGTACCCTACTCTGAGAAAATGTTCACCCTATATATTATAAGTAGTTTAAATCTCTTCAACGCTAACTAGATTGGCGTAATGCCGCGGGCACTGATATGTCAACGGTAGCTTCTAACAGGATCAGATAAGTAGTTGCTTACCAGGTCCTGGTTGATGGGAGCGC